GGGGGGGGGGCGTGGTTCTTACGTCCCTCCTTCAAGACAACCAGCTCCTATCAGAGCACCTCCTCTTCAGAGCTATTATCATGGTCAGTCGGCCCGCCAGGGTCAGTGTCAGTTTCCTCAGCTGCAGCATTCAGGTGGATGTTTTGAGTGTGGTGTATTGGTTATATCCGGAAGGCTTGTCCGAGACTAGTGGGTGCTCAGTCACTCGGTATTCATTATTTGAGCGTATCAGAGATCGGCAATATGATGACCCTCATTTTCTTGTCCTTAGGGACACAGTGCGGCACGGTGGTGCCAAGCAGGTCACAGTTGGAGATGATGGAGTTTTGAGGATGCAGGGTCGTATTTGTGTGCCTAATGTGGATAGACTTCGTGAGTTGATTCTAGAGGAGGCCCATAGTTTCCGGTATTCCATTCATCCAGGTGCCGCTAAGATGTATGACAACTTGCGGCAGCATTATTGGTGGAGGAGGATGAAGAAGGATATTATTGCGTATGTAGCTCAGTGTTTGAATTGTCAGCAAGTAAAGTGCGAGCATTAGAGACCTGGTGGGTTGCTTTAAAAGATTGAAATTCCTGAGTGGAAGTGGGAGCGTATCACTATGTACTTCGTTGTTGGACTCCCACGGACTTAGAGGAAGTTCGATGCGGTATGGGTTATTGTTGATAGGCTGACAAAGTCAGCGCATTTCATTCCTGTGGCAGTCTCCTATTCTTCAGAGAGGTTAGCTGAGATCTATATTCGGGAGATTGTTTGTCTTCATGGTATGCCGTGTCTATCATTTCCAACAGAGGTACGCAGTTTACCTCGCATTTTTGGAGAACGGTTCAGTGTGAGTTGGGTACACGGGTCGAGTTGAGCACAACGTTTCATCCTCAAACGGACGTACAATCCGAACGTACTATTCAGATTTCGGAGGATATGCTCCGAGCATGTGTTATTGACTTTGGAAGTTCGTGGGATCAGTTCTTGCTATTAGTAGAGTTTGCCTATAACAATAGCTACCAGTTGAGCATTTAGATGTCTCCCTATGAGTCATTGTATGGTAGGTGGTGTCGGTCGCCGCTCGGATGGTTTGAGCCGGGAGAGTCTTGACTTTTGGGTACAGATCTAGTACAGGATGCCTTGGATAAGGTTAAGATCATTCAGGATAGGCTTCATACAGCTCTGTCAAGGCAAAAGAGTTATGTCGACCGCAAGGTTCGTGATGTGGCATTCATGGTCGGGGAGTTGGTATTGCTTCGGGTGTCACCCATGAAGGGCGTGATGAGATTTGGGAAGACGGGCAAGCTAAGCCCTAGATTTATCGGTCATTTTAAGATTCTTAATCGAGTGGGAGAGGTGGCTTACAAACTTGCGTTGCTGCCGAGCTTATCAACTCTGCACCTAGTGTTTCATGTCCATGTTTCGGAAGTATCACAACGATCCATCCCACATGTTTGACTTCAGCACTATCCAGTTGGACAAGGACTTGACCTATGAGGAGGAGTCGGTAGCCATTCTAGACCGGCAGGCTCGTCAGTTGAGATCGAAGAATTTCCCTTCAGTTCGGGTGTAGTGGAGAGGTCAGCCTATTGAGGCAGCAACATGGGAGTCCGAATCCGATATGCAGAGCCGTTATCCTCATCTTTTCACCGACTCAGGTACTTTTCTATGTCCGTTCGAGGACGAATGATTATTTTAGAGGTGGAGAATATGATGATCCTAAAGGTCATCTCTTGTTTTAGAAGTTAAAACTGTGCTCCGAGGCCTTAAAAACCTCTTTTTATTTCACCTCGATTTTCATGCGCAGTCCGGGCGCGTTTCTGGAAAGCTGTTATGTGAATTTTTAGAAAATAATGAATTTGGCCTATAAAATTTGATAAAATTGACTTTGGTCAAAATATTTGGTAAACGGACCTGAACCCATGATCGGACGGTCCCGTAGGGTTCATAGTAAAATATGGGACTTGGGCGTATGCCCGAAATCGAATTCCGAGGTCCCTAGCCCGAGAAAACAATTTTTAAAGAAAATTATTTGCTGGAAAATATAAGGGCTTTTTGAAATGAAATGATGCGTATTATTGATGGTATCGGGCTCGTATTTTGGTTTTGGAGCCCGATACAGGTTTAAAATAATAATTAAGTTAAATCTGTGGAATTTGGTAAGAATCTGAAAAGATTTGATATAAATCGGGCCCTTGGTTGAGAAAATGGAAAGTTTGAGCTATCATATGAATTTCATGGGTTTTGGTGTAAAATCCATTGTTGTTAACGTTATTTTGGCGATTTGATCGCACGAGCAAGTCTTTAAGATATTTTTAGACTTGTATGCATGTTTGATTTATACCCCCGGGGGCTCGGGTGAGTTTTGGATAGGTTACGGAGTGTATTGAGACTTAGAAAATACTGGGACCTGAAAAGTTGCAGGTCTCTGAAACTGGGGGTCCGCGGACCGTGGTGGAACTACCGCGGCTGCGCAAGGGATATCGCTGCCGCAGTGGGATTTCACGGTCAGCGGTGGGCAAGGCCAAACTTCCGCGGCCGCGCTAGTTATTTCGCGGTCCGCGGTCCTTTTTCCGCTGTCATCGGTGAGGATCTGAGAGGGATATATATAAACGAGACTTTTCAGCTATTTATTTTTTCAAAACCCTAAACATAAGAGGTGATTTTTCAAACACACTTTCTTCCCCAAAACACAAGTAAGTGATTTTAAAGTCATTTCTTTCACTACTTAACTTCTTTTTACAAGATTTCATCCTAGAATCTAAGGTTTTTATGGTAGAGTTGGGAATTTAGGGTAGAACCTAAGAATATTATAATTTGGGGATTTAGACCTCAAATTGAGGCCGGAGTCCAAAACTAATTGTATATCCGGGCTCGAGAGTGAATGAATAATCGGGTTTTGGTCCAAATTTCGTGTTTGCACTGAGCGTGCCCGGGGTCGATTTTTAACTTTTTAGGAAAAACATTTGGGAATTCATATTCTTGTATTAGAATTGGTTTATTTAGCATTTATTGATGTTATTGAATTAATTATGGCTAGATACGAGTGAATTGGTGGTGAAATCGAGAGGTAAAATAGTGGTTGAGTGTTGAATTACCCGTTGGCTTGAGATAAGTGTTTGGTCTAACCTTGACTTGAGGGAATATGAGTCCCCGACTTATTTGCTATGTGAATTTTCATGTGTGTGGCGTATAGGTGTGGTGACGAGTACCTATGCGCTACCAAAATCACCGTGTTTAGCTGTTTCCCTTCCTCGTTTCCTATTATATCATTCCTTGTCTTAATTGCTACCTGCTTAAACTGTTTCTATCCTTCAATTGCTATTTGCCATAAATATCGCTATGTCTAATTGCTTTATATTAACTGTTGCCCTCGTACTTGGAGTATCTAATTGTTTCATGGTTCCGTTTAGTTATATTGTTAGCTTGTATTGAGTTGTTGGTGCTTTATGGAGCACTTGGGTTGGTCTTGTTGTTTAGCCCTCATGGGTGAAGTTCGTTATCGTAATGATAACCCATTATATGAGTCGAAGTGTAGAAATGTGGAAATTGGGTTAACTTGTGAAATTCTTGGTATTTTCTCTTTGTGATTGGTGTTGATATATACATATGTTGGGATTGGGTTGCACGCCGCAACAGGAGGAATAATTGAGGAAAGTGATTGTCTGGTGGGATTGGGTTGCACGCCGCAACAAGGAGTAATAAGGAAGGACAGGTGGGATCGGGTTGCGCGCCGCAACAAGGAGGAATAAGGGAGAATGTTGATACTGTTATCGTTGAATATTGACACTGTTATTGTTGGATTATTGATACTGATGTAGTTTATATGGTGGGATCGGGATGCACGCCGCATCTGTTATGTTTTTTAGCATGTATTTCTGTTGAAAGTCTATTACTGAGATATTGAAAATCCCCCTAAGGATCGGTTATAGCTTAAAAGTAGTAGTAGTATAGTTGGATTCCGGATTTATTTAACGTCAGTTATTGTTCATGTAAATTTTGTATTTCTTTTTCGTTTCGTATGAACTGTTGCAGGATGTATATGTTGTATGCCCCCCGTAGCCTCGTCACTACTTCGTCTAGGTTAAGCTCGGCACTTACTAGTACATAGGGTCAGTTGTACTGATACTTCACTCTGCACTTCCTGTGCGGATTTCGAAGCTAGTAGTTGATCAAAGTTCAAGGGTGCTGCCTTCAGTTCAGGAGACCCAAGGTAGACCTGCAGGCGTCCGCAGGCTCTGACGTCCCCTTCTACCTTTATTGTATTCTGTTTTTACTTTTCCTTCGAAACAGACGCATATTTTCTTCAGACAATTACTTGTAGTAATCATAGACAGTTCGTGAGTTGTGACTCCAGTTTTGGGTAGATGTTATTTCGGATTTAGTTAATGTTTAAGTTAAACTTTTAAATTGTTTCTTCCACATTTATTTCTGTTGCTTCATCTTGTTAAGTTATATATACCTGAAAGATAAAGGAAAAATGTGTAATAAACTATGACGTTGGCTTGCCTAGCGAGTTCAATATTAGGAGTCATCACGGTCCCGAAGGTAGAAAATTCGGGTCGTGACAGTTGCTAGTTTGGAGACTTCAAGGTAGCTGCTATGACGTCCGTAGACCTCGACTCTTTTTCCTGTTATTTTCTTCAGTACTGTTCTATTATTCAGACAATAGTACTAGAATTTTGGTTTATGTTGATATTTAATAGTGCTCATGTACTCGTTGACACCAGATTTTGTGATGGTTGTAGTAGAGTTTTAGTTACTTTTATCAGATATTTGTGAGATTTTCCGTTATTGAGTTTATTAAAACATGTTTTATTCAAATGTTTAGTTGTTACGTGATTGTCGGCCTGCCTAGCAAGTGTGTTAGGCACCATCACGACATGTTGGAATTTTTGAGTTGTGACAAAATTGGAAACAAATTCATGCATGCAGGGGTCTACAATTTCAGTCTCTTACATGAACTACCCTAACAAATTTCAAGTACAAACTTGAAATAACAAAAGAACAAAAAAGTGGCTTGGTGTCCTGCTTTGTGAGCTTCCCGTTTGTAGCATCAGCAAACAACATTCAACTGCATATTCCTATATGCAGCGATCATAGTATATGTTGCCTTTACCTCCTCCTTCCATTGTCGTCCTAACGTCGTACTCGAAATCCCCTGGTGTGTCTCTCAGCTGCTCAGCTGCTTCATGATTTAGGGGATCATCTGGATTTGGTTCCTGCAGAATTGGTTGCAACTTGTAGTTACACACATACTTCTAAAATTAATATCTTTACACCAGAAATTTTGTCAAAATACCGTGAACAAATGATATAAGCCATAGATTATTGCGTTGATATTAAGCACAGGTTTCCAGTCCTCTCGAAGAATGTTCAGACACACATTTCCTTCCACGTCAATATTCGGGTGGTAGACCTGCAAAAACAAAATCACCAGTGATAATCATAATCAATAGTAAGAGTCTCCGACACAATTATAGATATGNAAGGGATGAATTGATAGGAAAATTTACTTTCCCTTCCTTTTCTTTTGCCGCGAAACTGAGGGGAGCAGTTGTACAGAAATTACTTACATATAATATCCTTCATCAGGGATAATGGAGACTTCAAAGTACATGAGGTCATCTTTTCCGTTTGGAAATTCTATGGTACATGTTGGGGGTAGATTTAGCTCACTAATATCTACAAGAAAATATATACAAAATATTGTAATCATATCTCAATTCATTGGTGCGGAAACAACAGAACTTATATAAAAGAATTAGCTTTGGAAAAGAAAAATAGAGTACAAAAAGAAGTACAATTGGACGAAATTATGACTAGGTAATTGGGAATCGATCCATGTTTTTTTAACGTAAATAACTCAATATTTAATTATGTGTATCATTCGCATCTTTTTGAAGCATAGGTATCAACGGATAATATTAGATAAATTCTAAAAAAATACATATATAAAACACATAATTTCGCAAAAAATCATGAATTCATATGCCCCATAATATATCTTATAAAACTGCCCCGGGTACTACTAATGTCATTATTTTAAATAATTTAGCGATGCTTGAAAACTCTACTACTAGTTCTTTTGATTGTACTGGTGCTAGTACTAGTACGAGTACGTTTCCTCATCTCTTTTTGCAGGATGATCTAACGCATGACCGTATGGGCACTACACAGTTGCGACTCCATTCAACTCATATGGCCAGCAGCAAAATTTTTTTGATTTAAATTCAGCATCAACTACTAGTACTACTCTGGGACAACCTTGTCTGCCTGTTGTAACATCTTTTTGTATTGGGGAACCATCAAGTTCCACCGCTTCCTGTAATGTCACTTAGTTCAATTAATACAAGCATCTTTTCCTACCCAAAAAAAAAAAAAAAAAAAAAAAAAAAAAAAACGTTTGCTCCCAATGGGAACTCCATGCACTCTGTTTTGCCTGCCTATTAATGAATAAATCTCATATTCCACCCAAAAAAAAGTGAAAATTATGACGTCATGACATCCGCAATTCATATAGCATAGTATCGTGAAATAGCACGAGCTAGCCAGTGTTCGGACTGATAATTGAAAAATAATCAGCGTTTGCAAATTCATTAAAAAATAGTCAATATTTTGCCGTAATACGGAAAGTTCCAACATTATATCCTGGAGATTGGTGCACCTGTATATGAATTTCCAGTATATTATGCTGGAACTCCAGCACACAGAAAGTTCGAGCATAATATATTGGAGAATGGAGCACCTGTGTATGAACGTCCAACATATTATGCTGCAACTCCAGCACACAGAAAGTTCCAGCATAATATACTGGAAATTGTAGCACATGTGTATGAACTTCCAGTATATTATACTGGAATTCCAACACACGGAAAATAACAGCATAATATATCGGAGATTGGAGCATCTGTGTATGAACTTCTCCTTAAACTTATACACTTGATCGCGAAATCAGTTCTAAAAAAGAACACACCTCTTTGAAGACGTAAATGTGTTGCAGTTTGCTCCTTAACTGGTGGTTTGTCTGCATTTGCAGCAGCTTCCATCTGCTTTTCCTTTGCTTTAATCAAATTAATCATGGTCCCTAAAACATATATTTATACCACAGATTAGAACCACTTGAGAAAGGAAATTTTTTTTATTGAGCTATGACTATTTATGCATTTTACTTACTGTTAGTTAGCTTAGCTTAGCGATCAATTAGTTAAATGTTAGTTTAGCTTAGCTGCCAATTAGTTGGCAATTAGTTAGTGGTCCATGTTGTAAGTAGAGGACCCCACTCATGTATATGTGTATTCAATTACTGAACTAAGTAATTACAGTGTTCATTTTCAGAAGTTTCTCTCTCTCTCAGCTTCTGTATTCTCTCCATGGCAGCTCAAGCTTGAGCTCAAGGTTCTCTGTGATTCTTTCCTCTTTACATGATTGTTTGAGGAACTGACTGCTCCTTTTCCTACACCTGTGAGTGTATATTGTGACAGCCAATCCGCCTTACACATTGCTAGGAACCCTGTGTTCTATGAGCGGACCATCATTCTGGAGTAATGTTGAAACAAGGGCAATTACTATTTCATTTAAGAAGTTCTTACGAGCATGTAGAAGATTCGTAAAATAAAGCTTCAAAATAATATATATTCTGGTAGTGGTCATCAACACATAGAAATATACACATTGATCCTACTTCCTTGCCTCTGGAACAATCTCACTAAGGTGATGGCACATATTTGTTTGAATTAATTCGGACATAGTTCTCCTAATTTGTTATTTACATGTCTAGAATCTTCATAAAATATTAGAGATCATAACTTTTTAAAGGTCAAAAAATTAAAAGTGATATTTCACCATTATTCATTTGATCTAACTAATTAATAGTCGACTGATCAAACCTATCCTTAGGTCGATCTAGTAATTGATTTTCTCATTTAGAAGTACTGAACATAAATCCGCGTTCTATTATGTATAAGGAATACTAATGTAAGAAAGGATAATAGCTAAACTTATCTCTATGATTGTTTTTAATTTAACATCTGTTTCAGTATACAATCTCACTCAGCGTCAATGAGAAGATCAAAAACATATAACCAATATTAACATCTAGCGATACACTAAGTATAACAACAACCTACGAGAGTTAAAACTTACTTGGGAGAATCAGAAGAACAAATAATCTTGGAAGTAAATTAGAAATAGGCCCGAAAGAGTATAATTCCTTATTTTGTTTCAAGGAATTATTTTATTCTGTTCTAAGTATTATTTTTTGTATTTTGTCCTCAAAGGGACAGATCAAAACATTCAGAAACAACCATCACAATTCACAAGTCACGACAGAGACGGCAATTTCCATGGTCAACGGGGACAGAGTAAATTGCATGTTTGCAACAAACCCCCTAAACTCCAGGTGGTAAGTTATCATTTTGGGTATTTCAATTCCTTGTCTTTTTCTTTTTTCTTTCTTACTTTCTTTTATTTGGCAATTGATTATATTTACAGAAGTACTACGTATTTCTTTCCCGGAAAAGACAACCAATTGAACGCAAAAATAAAGAACGTCAGAAAGAGAATTGAAAGCAATCTGTAACAGGCCTTTTTTTCTTTGGTCTCTGTTCTTTTGCTTATCGTACATTAGTAATTTGAAACGGAGAGCAACTAATGAAGCAGGTAAAATTTTGCACCGCGCATAGATTTTCTGTTTTAGTTTTATTGACATATAGAAACAAAATATTTGATCATGAGATTAGTTTTAAAAACTGTTTTACACGTACCTATCTATAATAAGTATGGATTGCTAGATTGAAAAGAAAGTACTCCATTAGTTTAAGTTTAAATGATATATCTTTCTTATTAGTCCGTTATAAAAAAGAATGACATAGTTTTATATTTGGAAACAATTTAACTTTAAATTATTTATTTACCCACTTTACTCTTATGATGTTACAAAATAATAAAAGAAGAAGAAGACGAAGAATATTACAAGAAAAGTAGAAAGAGAATTCTTATCGATTTGGGATGAATTACAATGGAATAGAACCCTCTATTTATAGAGAAAAAGGTGACTTAGTCACCAAGTAACAAACCCTAAAATTTCTCTAACATATAAACATTCACCATAAATAAAACTTTATTTATAACACTCCACCTCGAATGTCTATTCAACAGATAATGTGCCTCATTAAAACTTTAACTAAATTAAAATCCAGTGGGAAAAAAATTTATAGTGAAGGAAAAAGAGTACACATATCTAACAATACACCTTTTGGTTGTCTCATTCAAAAGCTTGCAAGGAAAATCCATTGGGACAAAACCCTATAAGGGAAAAAGAGTAAGATGCGTATTAACTCCCCCTGATGAGAGTATCAATTCACACCCTTGAGCCTTCGCATTCCAATCTTGTGCACTAGTTTCTTGAAGGTTGACGTCGGTAGAGATTTGATGAATAAAAATAGCCATATTAACTCCAACAAATATGTTGCACCTTCAAAATCCTCGCTATCACATTATCATGCTTATAGTTATAGCAAGATACATATGTGCGCAAATTGCACGTAGGATGTAGTACTTCATGACCAAGAATTGTATATGCTTTAAGCGATTTAAATCTTTCAAGGATTGTCATATAAGTCATATAATAGACTTTAATTAGATGCATATCAAGTTTTCATGTCATGTTAGATAAATAAGATATCGAAAACTGATTACATATATCATTGGCTTTATACTTTCAAGTGTTTGAACTATATGTCCAAAACTACATGTCTTTCATATGAAACCAATTCTATTTGAATTGTGTCTTTTCTATTTGGTCAATATTTTTGTGTCTGTATTCGATAGACTTAAGATCCTCGTCTATACCTAGTGCTATGATAGATGTCGTCGACGAATATTTTATATTGGTTCCAATATTTTTTCATAAAAACATAACATAGAGATCTCTTCATCCATATTTTCAGGTATCCGGACCTCTCATGAGATTTTATAAAGTTTTATGTCATGTGATCTTCTAGGTTACTTGCCTCCTTTATTTGATCATTTTGATCATTTGCTCATCTTCTTTATCAAGAAGTTTATTTGAAATAGATATGTCTATATGGTTTAAGCGTACCATAGACTTTGTACTTCTAGGACTTAATAGGAGCATTTTCAATGAGAATATAGTTACTTTCTTTAGGTCAACAAATGTGGCTGGCATGCTTTGCAATATATTTCAAATGAATTATCATTTTATGAACTTCAAGTTTATATTATTTTATTCGAGAATCTAGATGTACACATGATATCATTCCACGTAACTTTTTCTCAACTGTTTATCCTGTCTCCCCCTCATGTTAGAAAAACTAACTTGCTTCCTCAACTTTGAAAATCCATCTTTGTGCGCTATGGTGTTAATCAAAATATACACCGCACATCAATAATAATAATAAGATGGAGCTATTTGATTCCTGACCATGAACCACTTCTGAAGGGAAAATGTAATATACTTTGGTATATAACGTATATCAAACTAATATAGATAACTTTGTTCTCATAAGCAATAGTTTAACTATTAAGTGGAGGCACTCAATAAATCATCTTGATAAATTAGTTGTGATGTAAACCAACTTATCAAAATAAACTATCTTGAATAGAAAATTTAAAAATTATGCTCTAAATTAAATTATTGAGCAAGTTACCCCGCAAACACCAGGTTGCGGGTTAATAATAATCGTACATGTAACCATCTTATAGATGCATCTTATGTGGTATACATGGCAGGTGAATGAGCCCATATTCACCTTTGATATTTCCAGTATTCATGGGATTCAATCCAAATTTTAGTTGGTTTAGTAATTAATAAGAACAAGCAACATAAGATAATCCGCAAAGAACTTTCTAGTTCTTTAATATTTACTCATGTAAATTCTCTTTTATTTTTTTTACATCATACTTAAATTAACGTGGCTAAATCAATTATGCCAACTGAATAAATTATCAATAATGATAAAGTTCAGGTTTATTCCATGACGTGTGCAATTATCAATAAACTCCAAGTTTATTATGATATGAGCTTTTATATCAATAAACATCCACTTTATTGTGGTATACTTTTATTTGTGTAGTACAAACTGAAGAATAAAGCGGGTAATTATTTTACATACATATTACCCCGCTACAAGTTGTAGTAATAGAAGATATTAAATCTTTCCTTTATTTATAGTCTCAATATAACCAACCACTTTCGCGAATACCTTAGAAACTAAATAAGTTTCTTTAAGACTTACTACAACATAATACCTTATTGATAATCAATTTTATTCCTTCAAAATAGTAATAATTGGCTCTTCCAGAGCTCTCAATTAATTTGGTACTACCACATATTCATCAACATCTATATGGTAAATATCTCTTTTAAAAAGAAAGTTATACCATTATGGTTATAGTCAAAACTATATGCAAGATTTATTTCTTGCATTATCATTGTCTTTTAATAATCACAATGCGAAAATATTTTGGCTCTACAATCGGTACATGACCAATGACCATTCATGCCATAATAATAAAATTATTTTCTTATTTCATCTCAAACCTCCTCTTAGAGGTGAGTGTGGTAAATTCACTTCCTCTAGCACATTCATATTCTTACAAGAATGAATATATATTCATAAATCACATGTTGTCACATTCACATCATGAATGGACCATAATCATCTGTATGTGCATTACAAAAGCTCATGTCAAATCGATGACAAATATTACTTTCACAAAGTGGAGGATTATTTTGAGAATTCTTATTGTTCTCACAATTACCACATGATGACGATTATAATTTCGTCTATTGCCATGCCAACATCCATTGATACCTAGTAGTAATTTTATTTTCTTTCAGACGTATCACATACTGCTATCACATTCTCTTAAGGGAATGAGAATGGAGCAAATTCAATGTGACGGGTTTTCAATTCTTTGCCCACAATCATACATGAATTTGATCATGGCAAGGTATAAAATTTTTACCACTTTAGGTGGTTATGATTTCTTTCAAACTCCATTAGAGTTACAATCAAAATTTATCGTTTTTGCTTGTAGTTATAATCAAATTATAGAATGTCAAGAATATAAAAGAGAAAAATAAAGTAAAATACTTACCTTAAATACAGAATTTAATCATGAAGGAAGTTCATGGAACAATTGACAATCATTATGCTCAATCCCAAAGTTTCTATCCAATTGGTTAGAGTCTCGTGCTGATAACGTGTTATAAAACAATAAAAGAAGAAGAAAAGTATTATAGAGAAAAGTAGAGAGAGAGAATTCTTATTGATTTGTGATGAATTACAATGGAGAACCCTCTATTTATAGGGAAAAAGTAACTTAGTCACCAAGTAACAAACCCTAAAATCTCTCTAACATATAGACATTCACCGTAAATAAAACTCTATTTATAACATATGAGAAGTTTTTATAGCAGTACAAATGCATGACCCACAAAGCTATTATCTCTAAAGCTTTTAAGCCCATATGATTTAAAAGTAATTTTTTTTAAACTTTGTGTCAAGTCAAACTATAACATCTAAATTGAAACGAATGAAGTAATATTTATAATTAGTTATAGTGTGAGACTTATTTACACTACTGAAGTTTATAATTTTGATCTAAATCTTTTACGTCTTTTAACAGAAAATATTTACATTTTCTTAGCAATACATTAATGGATGCAGCAGTACGTATCAATTCTATTGAAATTAGCTACAAATATTTTTAATCGTACTGCCTCCTTCTATTAAAGCTGGGTAAAGAGAAAACCTAAGGGGTTGAAGCCCTTGGTAACATCTGAGAGATTATCAAAGTAATCTCTATCTCCTTTGTTTACATCTATTAAGTATAAATGAATGAAAGAAAGTTATAACTATGCATATCAGAGCTCGAAATTAATTTCTGCCGCCTTCAATTGTCTTACTCTAAATGAGAAAATCTCCCACCTATCCAATTGAGCGTGATAGAAGTAAATCTGTTGTTGTATGTAAAAGAAAGAAAAGTAGACAAAACAAAAGAAATAAAAGTCAAAGAGAGAAGAAAAATGATAGGCGGAAGAATTCATCTTTGAATCTTTTCTTATGACGTAAGCGCTTACATGGACAAGTTGAATTCCTTTCTTATGACATAAATGCTTATGTCGGCAGGGCATTCAAATGCCTATAAAAGGGGTCTGCATTTTTATTTGCACATCATCCCTCAATTTCTTCTTTCTCTTCAATTAATAAAGAACTATTCTTTGTGTGGCCATGGAATAGACAAAAATTGTCGAACCACATAAATCTTGACTTGTCTTGCCTTGTGAAATTTATT